ACCCGCGCTGTAAGACCCTCCACCTCCAAAGGGTTGACTAAAACAGAGTGTGGGTTAATCCCAGATGCGTGAGATTTGTTGAGGATAGAGAATATTGAAGAGTTTCTACGGTGTGTCTCCAGGTCAGCAGACAGGCGCCGTCTGTTACCTTGGCCATTATAATGTGATTTGTTGGTTTTAAGTGCAAAAGGCACATCATCTCTGCCTAAGGGGTCATTAGAGAGAGAGCGGTTGTTCACGTCTGATGTGACCGCAGAAGAGAGCATAACATCCTGTTTGATGGAGTCTTTGAATGTTTTAGAGAAGGACGAAGGATATCCTGGAAAAGCTTGGTATGATTGTGGTTGGTCCAGAGTATTGTCCGAGGAAGCTCCGCTAAATATTCCCCGAGATAAGTTCAACTCCGTATTTTCTTTAGTTGCGAGAATTGCATTTTGCTCAGCTAGGCTGTTGTTGATATTTTTCAGAATCTGAGCCACGGCAGCATCACTGTTGCTGGCAGTGGTACTGGAGGTAGAGGAGGAGGGATGGTGAGGGGAAGGTGAAGATGCAGAGATGACACTGAGGAAGGAGCTGGGATCCTGCTGAATACTGTTGTTGCTGCCTTGAATTATGCTTTCCCTGAGCTGAGCATAGTGTTGTTGCTAGATGAAGGAGAAATAAAGATATGTATAGATATGGAGTAAACCGGTGTGGAATAACAAGTGATACAACTGACTGGAGGTGACAAGTCTGTCGTGTAAATTCAACACCTCAGAATAAGATAGAGAGAAGAAATCACAAAAAAGCCTTATTTTTCTTATTCATGGAGCACTCCCACCACAATTATAGTTTTGATGTCTAAATGAAAACATGGCTTGAATAAATTTAATTTATCAAATTTTTTAACCACTAGGAAAAAAAAAAAAGGATTTTAAAATTCTCAAAGAAATGTCAACACTTCAACTTCCTACCAATTTAATGATTATAATTACTTGTGTAGGCTAATAAATAATTTAAAGCACTATTCTCTTTTAATTGAACAAAGTGTTTATTATAAAGTATACCTGTGAAGCTAAACTGGAGTGGCTGGATGGTACTTGGATATTGAGAAAATTGGGAATGCCTGTCTGATCAAGACTGGTGGCCCCTAACTGACCGGAGTTCAGAGACTGAGCCATATTGGGATGGCTGAGAGCGGCCACTATGGACTCCTGCTGCTGCTTTTCAACACTGGCCATGAGGCCATTTTGTATCCTTTTGATCTGTTCTTGTTCAGATTCTAAACCGCCGGTCTGCAGCACAGAAGGTGAGTCTCCGCCAAGAACCACCGACTCTGGGATGGATATGGTGGGCACTCCATTCATATCATCCGAATCTGGTGGCTGCAGCAGAATTTGTGGGATCTGACCGATATGTAGACCTGAGATCTGGCCGGTGATAATCCCAGAATGGTTATTTGACTGGACCTGCATCCTGATCAGATCCTGCTGCTGCAGCTGTTGGCTTTGCTGTTTCTGGAGCTGGGCTATTAAGTGCTGGTGATCGGCCAGGTTAATGCCGGCCGCACTGACGACCGAGGGGTCCAGCGCCGCCAGGATCTGCTGCAAAGACGTGTTGTTGAGGGTGATCTGGGGAGGCGCGGTTGATGTTCGTGTTTCCATAGATTCCGTGCTTTGATTGCTGAGCTGTATGAGAGTTTGTTGGGCGGACAGGCTCACGGGTTGTGTGGTGATTGACATGCTGACAGGGGTGGCCGTGATCTGGTTGTTACTTAGTTGTTGAAGGAGGCCCCGCTGGGTCGTCATCACCAGCTGGTTGTGGTCAATATTCCGCAACTGTTCCTCTTGGAGTTGCTGTTCCCTCATCTGGGCCTGGCGAAGTTGATTCTGCTGCTCTTGCAGCTGGTACTGCAGCTGTTGTGGATTGAGCGGTGGAAGTCCTAGGAGCTTGTGCTCCTGCATGATCTGCTCCAGTTGCTCAGCACTTAGCTGGGGCAGTTCAGCCTGTTGCTGCTGCTGCCTCTGCAGTTCTTCCACCTGGTAGGTGCAAATGTTCACACTTTAAAAACTTACTTGCAAAATTCAACAGCCTTTTGGTTTTTAAGATAAATTTGTTATTAATTAATGTCAAAGGTGAATAAAAGAAATGAGATCCATCTGCACGTGTAACTTAATATTATTAAAGTTTAGTTTTTTTTTACTTCCACATTTGAGGTAAAATGAATGTTTGCAAGACAGAATTGAATGACAGAACTGAAGAATTCTGTAACAAAAAATTATTAAGGCTTTTTACAAAAAAGTAATAGCTGGTAGAGCAATTATTTCCTTATTCAAACTAATTGATTTGATGCAGCATGGACCCCACAGATAACATTCTCTCAAACTAATTGATGGACAACATTCTCTCAAACTCATTGATGGACAACATTCAAACTAATTGATGGACAACATTCTCTCAAACTCATTGATGGACAACATTCTCTCAAACTCATTGATGGACAACATTCTCTCAAACTAATTGATGGACAACATTCTCTCAAACTCATTGATGGACAACATTCTCTCAAGCTAATTGATGGACAACATTCTCTCAAACTAATTGATGGACAACATTCTCTCAAAGTATTTTATGGACAACATTCTTTCAAACTCATTGATGGACAACATTCTCTCAAACTCATTGATGGACAACATTCTCTCAAACTCATTGATGGACAACATTCTCTCAAACTAATTGATAGACAACATTCTCTCAAACTAATTGATGGACAACATTCTCTCAAACTAATTGATAGACAACATTCTCTCAAACTCATTGATGGACAACATTCTCTCAAACTCATTGATGGACAACATTCTCTCAAACTAATTGATGGACAACATTCTCTCAAACTCATTGATGGACAACATTCTCTCAAGCTAATTGATGGACAACATTCTCTCAAACTCATTGATGGACAACATTCTCTCAAACTGATTGATGGACAACATTCTCTCAAACTCATTGATGGACAACATTCTCTCAAACTCATTGATGGACAACATTCTCTCAAACTCATTGTTGGACAACATTCTCTCAAACTAATTGATAGACAACATTCTCTCGAACTAATTGATGGACAACATTCTCTCAAACTCATTGATGGACAACATTCTCTCAAACTAATTGATGGACAACATTCTCTCAAACTAATTGAGGGACAACATTCTCTCAAACTCATTGATGGACAACATTCTCTCAAGCTAATTGATGGACAACATTCTCTCAAACTCATTGATGGATAACATTCTCTCAAACTGATTGATGGACAACATTCTCTCAAACTCATTGATGGACAACATTCTCTCAAACTCATTGATGGACAACATTCTCTCAAACTCATTGTTGGACAACATTCTCTCAAACTAATTGATAGACAACATTCTCTCAAACCCATTGATGGACAACATTCTCTCAAACTCATTGATGGACAACATTCTCTCAAACTTATTGATAGACAACATTCTCTCAAACTAATTGATAGACAACATTCTCTCAAACCAATTGATGGACAACATTCTCTCAAACTGATTGATGGACAACATTCTCTCAAACTCATTGATGGACAACATTCTCTCAAACTAATTGATGGACAACATTCTCCCAAACTCATTGAGGGACAACATTCTCTCAAACTCATTGATAGACAACATTCTCTCAAACTCATTGAGGGACAACATTCTCTCAAGCTAATTGATGGACAACATTCTCTCAAACTCATTGCGGGACAACATTCTCTCAAGCTAATTGATGGACAACATTCTCTCAAACTCATTGATGGACAACATTCTCTCAAACTCATTGTTGGACAACATTCTCTCAAACAAATTGATGGACAACATTCTTTCAAACTCATTGATGGACAACATTCTCTCAAACTGATTGATGGACAACATTCTCTCAAACTCATTGCGGGACAACATTCTCTCAAGCTAATTGATGGACAACATTCTCTCAAACTCATTGATGGACAACATTCTCTCAAGCTAATTGATGGACAACATTCTCTCAAACTCATTGCGGGACAACATTCTCTCAAGCTAATTGATGGACAACATTCTCTCAAACTCATTGATGGACAACATTCTCTCAAACTCATTGTTGGACAACATTCTCTCAAACAAATTGATGGACAACATTCTTTCAAACTCATTGTTGGACAACATTCTCTCAAAATCATTGATGGACAACATTCTCTCAAACTCATTGATGGACAACATTCTCTCAAACTAATTGATGGACAACATTCTTTCAAACTCATTGATGGACAACATTCTCTCAAACTAATTGATGGACAACATTCTCTCAAACTCATTGATGGACAACATTCTCTCAAACTCATTGATGGACAACATTCTCTCAAACTCATTGATGGACAACATTCTCTCAAACTCATTGATGGACAACATTCTCTCAAACTAATTGATGGACAACATTCTCTCAAACTCATTGATGGACAACATTCTCTCAAACTCATTGATGGACAACATTCTCTCAAACTGATTGATGGACAACATTCTCTCAAACTCATTGATGGACAACATTCTCTCAAACTCATTGATGGACAACATTCTCTCAAACTCATTGATGGACAACATTCTCTCAAACTAATTGATAGACAACATTCTCTCAAACTCATTGATGGACAACATTCTCTCAAACTAATTGATAGACAACATTCTCTCAAACTCATTGATGGACAACATTCTTTCAAACTCATTGATGGACAACATTCTCTCAAACTAATTGATGGACAACATTTTCTCAAACTAATTGATGGACAACATTCTCTCAAACTAATTGATGGACAACATTTTCTCAAACTCATTGATTTGATGCAGTATGTGACCCACGGACAACATACTCTCAAATTAATTGATGGACAACATACTCTCAAACTGGTTGTTATTTAACAGTTACAAACCTGCTGGAAACTGCGAACCAGGCTTTGGATACGTTCACCTTGCTGAGGTGATGCTGTCCTTACTGGCATAGACTCTATGCTCATTGGAACTGTTGAAGTATCACACAGTATCTGGCCAGATAAAAGCTGTTGGAATAAAAAATGAATGGTATTAATTCCTGATATGTAATAATCAAATAACTGCAGTTTATCTCAAGAACTTGTTCATTGGACATGTTCCTTTGGCAGTTGTTCCACATGGATAAACTTCAAGCAATAACTGAAAAGAAATTGGCTTTATCCTATTCGATATAAAGGCATCTTTGTTATCATAGTATAATTATACGGGAAGGGGGGTGGAATTTGCAGCAGCTCTCACTACACATTTTATTAAAAGATAAATAAATAAAATAAATAATTATTAACTGGTATCTCATTTATGCAGTCAATACCTAATAATATAATCACAAAATGAGTATAGAAAAGTGGGGAAGGGGAGGGGGAATGCAATTAGATACATTTTTAAAAAAGGTGAGTTCCAGTCTATGTCTATTAGTCCAGTCCATTTTTTTTGTGCCAAAGTTAATATGTGACTGGTTACACACCCATCATTTCAGTACCAAAATATTCAAAAAGATCATCAGAGTGATTGCACTTTCTGTTGTGCTCTAGGAATCCAGCACAAAATATTCCACGCACCTGTATGTTTTGTTGGGACTGTTCTTGTAACAATTGTTGCTGGGCCTTGATGTGCTCCTCAAAGAAACGCATGCTCTCTTGGTTAGACTGCTGCTGCTGTTGATACTGCTGCTGCTGTAGTGTTTTCTGTTGCTGCCTCCTCTGCTGTTGTTCTTCAGACATTCTCCTCTTCAGTATGTGTGAGGACAGCTGTTCCTGTAAGTGTTTGTGCTTTTGTTGGGGTAGAACTGCATCCAGCAATGTCCCGTCTGCTTTTATAGTGAACTAAATGAAGTTGAGATTAAAGTGTTTTAACATAGGTAAGTGACTCACTATAGCTGCAGCTTGAGAAACAGAGAAATCTCCCCAATATCAACCTGTTCAATTATTCTTTTCAAAGAGTTTACTAAGAATAAATATCAAACTTTGAAAACAATTAGAAATCAACATACAGTAGACATTTCTCATGAGATTCAATGCTGACTGCAAGCGATAGCTAGTTAATCATTTTAATGAAAACATGAAATCTCAAGTTTCAGTTAGTCCATATCATTCTCATCCACTGACATTATAAATTAAAGAGATTTGTATATAAACATAGAATCACACCTAGGTATTAATATTTTCAAAAGTTATTATAGAATCAAACTTACAATTTAATATGTTAAAAAACTATCATTCATATGGATTTAAATTTATCCAGAAGCTGTTTATTTCAAGACTAAATACCGCTATCAACATAAAAATTGTTTATTACGATGATTGCTGTTTTATTTCTCAACAATTTAATTTGGTGCAGGCTTGATGAAAAGCTGTGTAAACATTTGAAGGAGACTTAACATTGTTCTGAAACTTACATTCTGAATGTGCTGGTCAGATGGAGAGCCAACACTCATCACATCTATTGCACCGTGCTGGTCAGACTGGCCGGGTGTCAGGGGAGTAGGGGAGAATGTGGCCGATGTGGGGGTTGAAGGGGAGCTTCTGGCCGGCTGGGGCGAAGGGGTGGAGGTATGAGGGGGTCTTCGAAGAGGGGGCCCCATATCTGATGATGAGGAGCTGGATGTCTTACGCATTGGAGATTTCTTGCCATCTTTTTCCTAAGTGCATAAAGTTAATGAGTCGCAACTGTGAGTTTGATGGAGTTTTCACTACTTGAACGCAAGTATAAAACAGAATACTACAAAATAATCTTTATACAATTACTGAATTTTCAACAATCATAAGAAAGTCTAAAAAATAATACCCTAAAGTAAACTTTATCTATATTCCAAAAAATTGTTCCAATGTATTTGGATAATCTCGTGCGGAGATACTGATCTTTCATCGAGCGCCTCCCCAGGTGGGAAAGCCCACCAGATATGGAGGGTACCAGGGAAATAAAATACCTGGGGCTGACCAAAATCATAACCTACTGCCTTGTAGGAAGTGGAGAGATCCACAAAGGCTAGGGAACCTTACCCAAAAACTAAGGCAGCTATCCAGAGAGCTGTAAGGGGCAACCCCCCAAGACGGTTGTGCGCAGGGTTAACAACCCGGCCACGTAAAAAAAAACAACGTTACGAAAGCCAAGCAACTGAACAAAACCCGGACTGATACCAATGGAAATCGACCTATGCATGGATATGGACATGATTTTTGGATTGCGATTTGGAATGTATTAAGCCTGTTTAGAGCAGGAGCCTTAGCCAACCTTGTAAATCAGCTGGTCAAATATAAAATATCAATTGCTGCATTGCAAGAAATTTGATGGAAAAATTCAGACATCCTCAAGACAAAAGAATACACCATATTTTATAGTGGTTGCAACACCAACACACTAGGAACAGGATTTGCCATGAAAAAAGAAGCGGTCAGTGCAGTCATAGGCTTCAAACCAGAGAACGAAAGATTGTGTTCTTTGCGTGTGCGAGGTAAAATGTTCAATTTAACATTAATACATGTACATGCTCCAACGGAAGACACGGAAGATCAGGATAAAGAATCCTTTTATGAGACACTGGAAAAGATCTACGAAGAGGCACCACGACATGATATTAAAATAGTGATTGGAGACTTCAATGCCAAAATAAGAAAAGAAAAGGTGTTCATGCCAACTATTGGCAAGGAAAGTCTGCACGAAGAATCCAATGACAATGGGATCCGACTCATAGACTTCACGGTAGGAAAAGGGATGTCAGTTAGCAGCACCAAGTTTCCGCACAAAAATATACATAAAGCTACGTGGAACTCACCAGATGGAATCACCCGCAATCAAATCGATCACGTTTTAATAGATCGAAGACATGGATCAGATATATTAGATGTGAGAAGCCTTAGAGGAGCAGATGCGGACTCGGACCATCTACTTGTAAGGGTGAAATATAGGCAGAGGATAAGCTTAGTTCACAATGGTCGTAATCAAAGAGAGAAACGATACGATTACCAAAAGCTGCCCAAAGACCCATTAACTGCAAAAGCTTACCAGAATGAAGTAGAAGCACAATTAGAAGCATCGCACGAGGAAATAAACGGGGAAAACAACATAAATGAACAGTGGAATAGGATAAAAAATGCCATTAAAAGATCAGCAGAAAAAGTAGTGGGATTTCAGCAAGCCAACAATAGAGTAGGCTGGTACGACAATGAATGCAGAGTGACTGTGGAAGAAAGAAACAAAGCACGAATGATCATGTTACAAAGGGAAACCAGAAAGACAATACAAGCATACAAGGAAGCCAGAAGGAAAGCAACAAAAATGTGTAGGAAGAAAATAGTAAGGTATTGGAGAGGTGGGCTGAATATTTTGAGGACACACTGAATGCAGACAATAGACAAGAAGAAGATTATCAACACCCACAGGGAGGACCAGACCCTTTTATACAATGCCCAACCCTAGAAGAAACCAAAGAGGTAATTAATTACATGAAAAATCACAAAGCCCCCGGACAAGACCTTATCACAGCAGAACTGATTCAATATGGAGGAAAAGAACTACACAATCAGATACATAAACTTATAACTAAAATTTGGCAAGAGGAGAAAATCCCGACAGAATGGGAAACAGCATTAATAACCCCAATACACAAGAAAGGCGCCAAACTTCAGTGCACAAACTACAGAGGAATCTCCCTATTAAATGTTACATACAAAATACTGACGAAACTAATTGCCAAAAGACTACAACCTTACACTGAAGAAATACTAGGTGATTACCAATGCGGATTCAGGCCTAACAGATCAACGACTGATCAGATTTTCACCATCAGATGCCTGTTAGAGAAAAGCTATGAATTTAATATACCAGTACATCAACTCTATGTAGACTATAAAATGGCCTATGACAGCATCAAAAGAAACTATTTATATGAGACTCTACAGGAGTTTGGGATACCCAACAAACTGACAAGGTAATACATGTAACACTAAACAACTCAAAAAGCAAAATCAAGATTCAAGGAGAATATTCAAGGGAATTTCATATTAGACGAGGCCTAAGACAGGGAGACTCACTGTCTTGTATGCTCTTTAACCTAACATTGAGAGAGTTATTAGAAACATACACATTGACACTCGAGGAACGATAACAAGATACTTTCTGAGGGAAACTCAAGACCCACAACCAACGGGCACACTCTACAACCAACCACTTCAGTATCTTGCATATCCTGATGACATAGCACTGCTAGGGAAAAGTATTAAAGGCATATCAAAATCTTTAATTGAATTAGAAGAGGCATCACTAAAAGCAGGGCTGGAAGTTAACAACCAAAAAACAAAATACATGACCAAGATAAGAGAAGAACAAACAGATGAAGCAATTAAAATTAGAAACCAGACTTTTGAAAAAGTAAATCAATTCAAATACCTTGGATCTTTTTTAAATGAAAGATACGAATTACTAACAGAAATAAAAGAAAGAATATCAGCCGGAAACAGGGCATACTTCAGTAGTCAGAAAATACTCAAAAGTAAAAACATTACAAGAGAAACAAAGAAAACTATTTATAAAACTGTGATCAGACCAGTTGTAACATATGCAAGTGAAACTTGGACCCTAACAAAAACAGCAGAAAACCTATTAAACACATGGGAGAGGAAAGTTCTCAGGAAAATATATGGGCCAACAAAGGATGAATATGGATGGAGAATACGAACCAACCATGAATTATACAGTCTATATCAGGATCCTACGATAGTGGCAGGAATAAAAAGAGCCAGGCTACGCTGGGCAGGACACCTAGAGAGAATGCCAAATGACAGAGGAACGAAGAGGGTACATCACCAATACCCCAGAGGAAAAAGGCTCAAAGGCAGACCTAGGCTTAGGTGGATAGATGATGTAGAAAAAGATCTACAGCAGCTGAAAGTCCAAGCATGGAAAAGAAAGGCATTAGTTAGGTCTGAGTGGAAGGAAGTAGTGAGGCAGGCCAAAGCCCTACATGGGCTGTAGCGCCACAGGGATGGATGGATGGATGTATTTGGATAATATTTTATATTTTATTTTAATGTCATCTTCATCGATGTCTCAGCCTACAAGATAGCAACTACACTGCCCCACTGCCGATTTCCTCAATGCAAGTGCTGCTTTATCTAATGTTCTATAAAAATGAAGACCATAAAGCATGACATAACGTGAAATAATCTTTAAATAAAATTTTCACACAGCCCAGATGTTAGTCAATCTAAAATATTTGTCCTGATGTTGGCTTAAAAGCTATGCAATCAAACTGAATACTAAATTTGAACCAAACAAGTAACAAAAATAAAATCTTTTCATCACTGTGTTAAGTTTAGATTGCACGTGTAGGTTTGGTGAAGCTATCGTTACCTTTCCCTTTTTCAGATATCCTCCGTGACATCTCATGTGTCCGTTAAGAGCAGCTATGCAATCAAACTGAATACTAAATTTGAACCAAACAAGTAACAAAAATAAAATCTTTTCATCACTGTGTTAAGTTTAGATTGCACGTGTAGGTTTGGTGAAGCTATCGTTACCTTTCCCTTTTTCAGATATCCTCCGTGACATCTCATGTGTCCGTTAAGAGCAGCGGCATTCTTAAAATACCTATCACAAGTGGTACAGTACGCTTGACTCTTTGGCTGCTCCTCAAGGCTGGCTCAGTAGGGAAAAAAGAGGGAACATAGAAACATAATGCTGTTTAATTGTTCAAATTATAAGTAAAACATAGAAACATAATGCTGTTTTTTCTAATTGCTCAACTTCAGTAAGGAAACTATTGGCTTGAGACAAACAATATCTCTTCCCCAGTACAAGCTGTAATTACAAAATTTAAATGTAATTTATACCATACAAATGACACATGAACCACTTTATTCAATTGTGTCCATTGAAGCCATCTACTCATTCTTACGTAATCAATTCTCTTTAAAAAAAAAATAACAGCTCTTTGATAATTCATAAGATGAGTTCATTAAAAAAAAAAGAGTATTTAAAAAAAAATTTATTCTGAAAGTTCTTTCAAATATCCATATAAAGAGGATATATTGGGAAAAATGAAAAAAAATCCTAATGAAATTAATATTTTGTTTATTCCGGAGACTATTAAAATAATAATATTAAATCTGAAATATAAAAAGTAACTCTAGACCTATTATAAAGATTTGCAGAGTTGAAAGTGATTTGAGATGATGCACACCTTTTTGTTAGAGAAGAGCTGTCAGGTGAGGTGGTAAACCAAGATCCTCTATTCTGTGGGCTGGTCATGGGGCTGATGGGCTGGACTGCAGCCGGGGACACAGGGCTTCGGGTGGGCAGCTCAGCTGTGATGACCACACCACCGGGTGACTGGTCATTACGAGATGTTGGAGAATGTTCATTGGAAGTAGGGGTACCAACAAATGTGTATACCTGTGACAGAAAGGGGGATTACTTTATATACCTGAGACAGAAAGGGGATTTACTGTGTATACCTGTGATAGAAAGGGGAACTACTGTGTATACCTGTGACAGAAAGGGAGGATTACTGTGTATACCTGTGATAGAAAGGGGGATTACTGTGTATACCTGTGACAGAAAGGGGGATTACTGTGTATACCTGTAACAGAAAGGGGTATACCTGTGACAGAAAGGGGGATTACTGTGTACACCTGTAACAGAAAGGGGGATTACTGTGTATACCTGTGACAGAAAGGGGGATCACAACTACTATTCTGCTTTAATAAAAATATTTTATGATGATTCCTCAGAAAAATTCACTTTCCTATTTACTGTAAAAAGCTACACTATAGCTGAATGTTCCATTTTTCCATGTAAAAAAAAACATAAAATGGTTAATTGATATGTACAAAATGGATTGCTGGCAGCTGAGAATTAAAGTCACTGGGTTTTTTTATTATGAGATCCTAGAATTGACGCAATGCTAAAAAGCAAAGTGCCTCCCTTACATTTCTTACCCCGGCCTTATCTTGCCACACCATGGGAGATTCTTGCTGGGCTGTGGCAGCGACCGCCGATTCCTTCTCTGCCGCCACTTTCTTCTTTTGCACATCGAGCTGTTGCTGTTGAAGGGCCTGCTGCTTTAGCTGCTGCACTTGTTGAATGACCGCAAGCATGTCTGCGGGCTGTTTCTGCTGTTGGATCTGTAATTGGATCTGCAGTTGCTGGGCAACAGTGTCACTGGCCTGGATGGTGATCTTTTGTTCTTTAGTCTTCTGTAATACATTTCATCAATAGCATAAGGCAGATATTTAACATTGCCCATTCCAGAAAGTTTAGTCACAAAGTAAAACAAGTTACTTATTATAAATTTTAAAAAAAGGATTGTCTATAATTTGGAGCTTCAATAATGATATATAAATAACAATTAGGACAAAAAGTTTTATCAAGTGATCTTACAAAAAGTTGTTTTTGATATTCTATTTCCGCCTCACTGACCTCCTCTTGTTGCTGCTTTTGCTGTTTCTGTTGCTGTAAAAGCAGCTTTTGCTGTTGGTGAATTTGCTGCACCATTAGCTCCTGCTGCTTTTGTTGCTGATTGTTCTTCAACTGCTGGGCATCAAAGTGAAAGACATTGCCACCAGCCTGAGAAACAGAACATTATCTCAACCTCTGTCAGACAGAACTGTGTCTTTCATTCTTAACATTTATATCCTTAAAAGCATTTTGGAAATAAAAAGCACACTATGATTATAATCAAAATAATAATAATAATAATAATGATAATAATAATAATAATAACTAGGGCTCAACCGGATGCAGCTTTTTTGAGAAAATATGTGGTGGCTCCAAGTTTGACAAAAAAAAGTTAACCTCTCATTTTCTATAATATATTATTGTTGTTATTATTATGAAAGTGGTCTTGTATAGCGCAGTAACCCAGCCTTTAAAAAATAGACCTACAGACAGTCCTAAACTCTACGTGCTCGCCTTCAAACAATAGTCCTACAGACAGTCCTAAACTCTACGTGCTCGCCTTCAAACAATAGTCCTACAGACAGTCCTAAACTCTACGTGCTCGCCTTCAAACAATAGTCCTACAGACAGTCCTAAACTCTACGTGCTCGCCTTCAAACAATAGACCTACAGACAGTCCTAAACTCTACGTGCTCGCCTTCAAACAATAGTCCTACAGACAGTCCTAAACTCTATGTGCTCGCCTTCAAACAATAGACCTACAGACAGTCCTAAACTCTACGTGCTCGCCTTCAAACAATAGACCTACAGACAGTCCTAAACTCTACGTGCTCGCCTTCAAACAATAGTCCTAAAGACAGTCCTAAACTCTACGTGCTCGCCTTCAAACAATAGTCCTAAAGACAGTCCTAAACTCTACGTGCTCGCCTTCAAACAATAGTCCTAAAGACAGTCCTAAACTCTACGTGCTCGCCTTCAAACAATAGTCCTAAAGACAGTCCTAAACTCTACGTGCTCGCCTTCAAACAATAGTCCTAAAGACAGTCCTAAACTCTACGTGCTCGCCTTCAAACAATAGTCCTAAAGACAGTCCTAAACTCTACGTGCTCGCCTTCAAACAATAGTCCTAAAGACAGTCCTAAACTCTACGTGCTCGCCTTCAAACAATAGTCCTAAAGACAGTCCTAAACTCTACGTGCTCGCCTTCAAACAATAGTCCTAAAGACAGTCCTAAACTCTACGTGCTCGCCTTCAAACAATAGTCCTACAGACAGTCCTTCACCATTCCAGTGACTCTTTACTGATTAATATAAAGAAAAAGATGAAACTGAACAGAGTTGAGACGTCACGCATGAAAGCTCGCTGAGTGACAGGTCTTGATCTCTCACTCAGGTACTACTACTTAAAACATGTTGTCAAGAGGAATCAGGACACACCAGAAACAAAATGTGTATAAGAGATAATAATAGGTTGAGAATTTTAGAGGTTTAAAGGATATTTTCAAATACAATTTTAATATTTACAAAAATGAAAGCTGTGGCACACTTCTATTTACTACAGAGTATTAGAACGATGTTTGCTGCAGTCTGAATCAGACAAGAAAATATCACACTTATTGGTATTGACTGACTCACCCCTGCGGCCCCCGGACTTGGAGTAGGAGTGGCTGAACCTGGACTACAGACGGGGGAATTAATTTGTTTGCCCCGTCCATCACCGCTTTTCTTGCTTCCATTACGAGGCGCGGGTGGGGATATTCCTGCGGCGGCCATGCTGGCCTGGACATGCGTCTGAATGGTCTGAGGATCCAGATGGTGATGCTGTTCCAGATGGCGCCTAAGAGATCGTGCATCACAGTATCCTTTGTCACAGTTTTCTAGCTGACATTCATAGGGTTTTTTATCTAAGTGTGTCATAAGGTGCCCATTTCTATGAGTGAGGGAAAATAACATGGACAAAAAAAACAACTTAATTCCAAATGTAATTTTCTAACAACTTAGACACATGTTTACCTAACAACTTAGACACATGTTTAAAAGAATTAAAATAGGAGAACAAAGCAGGCAGAAGCTGAACATAATGAAAGGACAATAAAAAGAAGAACGGGTCGGCTAAGAGCCTTCCTTCAAAAGATCTAATACAAGTAATGTGCTGAATAAAGGAAAGTATTAATAGCTTCAGTATATTATACTCGTGTGTAAATATGTATTGGCAGGATGAAGAGATCAGAAAACCTTCAAAAGTCTTGTTTCTCTCAACCTGCCAATTATTTTAATGACTGAAATCAACAAATATTTGAGAACCTTCCATAAGACTTACAAATGGTCTTGTCTTTTAAATCCCTTTGAGCACACATTACAAACATATTTTCTTTCATCAGAGTGGGTCAGTTTGTGCTTGGCAAGGGCACCAATGTTGCTGAATGTTTTACCACATGCCGGACATTGGGAGGGTCCACATTTGGAAGGACTTGACAGGTCAGCTGATGTAATGGAGCTGTTCGAACCTTTCCTCTCAGGAGACTTGACTGCTTCGTCCATGTCACTGTGATGCTGCATCAAGCCTGCTGTTAAAGAAACAAACAATACATAGACACAAAAATAAATAGTGCAGGAAGGAACTGTGTCCACTTTGTATGTATTTAAAGTTACCCAACTGTAAAATACAATTTAGTGTACTGATCCACGTAGCATTTATTTTTGCACTTTGATTTAAACTATATTAAATACAGTACAGAGAGGCATATCAGGCCGTCAACATTTATGTATATACCTGTGTCTAGCACCGATGATGTTGAGTCTGCCATGAGGCCCGCATCCGTGAATGGTTGTGGTGACAGTGACAAACTGTCAGTTACTCCGCCATCAAACAGATCAAATGAAGTGCCGCCAGTTCCATCCCCTAGCCTCATACCCTGACCTCCTGATCCAAGGCTCGACAGCAAGCCATCATCAAACTGTGGCAGACCGCTTGAAGAGGTAGAATCAAACGCTGAATCACCAAGCATCTCGGGGTCGTTGAAGTTAAGACTGTTGACGGCACTCAGCATTTTATCCCCACCGCTGACAACTGAATGAAAGTGGAGCCCAGACTGCATACTTGATTGTGAAGTAATGACGGGGCTGTTCTGACCTTGAATACTGATCCCATCACCTACCATTATATTAAGTGGAGACTTGGTGTCTCGTTTGGACATTATGTCCGATGAATTCATAAAGCTGTTATCAGATATTTTATAAATGCTAGCATCTGACAAGCCGTTTAACGGAAAGTTGACCGATGACACCAGCAGATCTTCCGAGTGTGCAAAAGTTATATTGGGCTGGTAGCCATTAAAAGCTGACAAGGACAGAGGAAGATCAATTAGATTCAATCCACTTGGGTGGTTATCTGAAGATACCGACGACATAAAATTGGACAGAAAAACTGATCCATTAAGTCCAACGGCTAGCGGTGATGCCTGGCTGCTGGCCCCAGCAACCTGCTGTCCTTCCATTGCTCTCTCCAATTGAATGTTCTTGTTTTCTGCCTGCTTCCATCAAGCAACTTGTCTATCATGACATCAATTATTATGCTATCAATTGCAATTATCAGTCTGGAACTACATGATTGCAGTTATTCTGAAAAAAGTACAAACCCAATTAGTTCAAATTAGCAAAACTCAGTTTAACTATAATGCTTAATTGTATCCATGAACCGGTATCAGCAATGCTTTAGCCTAGGCTAAGAAATTTTTTTTAAAACATAATTCTTAATAGCGGTACTTCAATTTTACATTCCTTCTAAGTCTAAAGGTGTGAAGGCATTCTAGCATTTTGTGAGATAATGCTTACTGTAGTAAGAACCCTGCATGTAACTGAACCCATGAAAGAATATAGCCATCAAAATGAGGGTCGAGATAAAAGTTTCATTATTTCACACAGTTATGTGTGTGTGTGTCCAATTATGACAATTTCATTTTGGTAGGTCTATCCCACTTCAGTCTATCAGGGACATTTAAACTAACCACTTCAAATTATTACTTATTCAATGTTACTGCTACCAGAACTACTTTAGGTCTATCCCACTTCAGTCTATCAGGGACATTTAAACTAACCACTTCAAATTATTACTTATTCAATGTTACTGCTACCAGAACTACTTTAGGTCTATCCCACTTCAGTCTATCAGGGACATTTAAACTAACCACTTCAAATTATTACTTATTCAATGTTACTGCTACCAGAACTACTTTAGGTCTATCCCACTTCAGTCTATCAGGGACATTTAAACTAACCACTTCAAATTATTACTTATTCAATGTTACTGCTAACAGAACTACTTTACTTATTTATTTTTGAATTATAAATATAAAAGTGACATTTTAGGACTTAAATTTATTTTAATACGGTATATATTGTTTATGCTTCGCACGCAAAGATGACCAAGGCTTGGGCAGCAGCCTTGACTTGAGCTGTATTTTGTTTAAAGTGAGGGAGAGTTGCTCAATTCGCCAGCTTCACTCTCTTATCCTTTCCTATTTGATCCAAAGGCAAGACTTGGTCAAGAAGACTGGAAATAGACCAGGATGCAGCAGATGGACAGCAAAGTGTTTCACTGTGCTCTTCATGCATTCCAAGATGTAGGAGCTGTCAGAATTCTCATTGTATTAACATTCCCACATACTGGTCTCCATCTCTCTGTTTCATTTCAGAGTTTGCATTCTCTTAGATGAGTTGCTGTTTAAGGTTAACGGTTCCCTTCCCCCCAGAGTACTAGTATTGTTTTGGTTGTTAATGCTTTTGCTGGGGATTGAATTCCAGTAAAAAATCTTGGGATTCAAGACCTCATCACAGCAGAACTGATTCAATATGGAGGAAAAGAACTACACAATCAGATACATAAACTTAAAACTAAAATTCGGCAAGAAGAGAAAATCCCAACAGAATGGGAAACAGCATTAATAACCCCACTACACAAGAAAGGCTCCAAACTTCAGTGCACAAACTAGAGGAATCTCTCTGTTAAATGTTACATACAAAATACTGACGAAGCTTATTGCCAAAAGACTACAACCTTACACTGAGGAAATACTAGGTGATTACAATGTGGATTCAGGCCTAACAGATCAACGAATGATCAGATTTTCACCATCAGATGCCTATTAGAGAAATGCTTTGAATATAATATACCAGTACATCAACTCTATGTGGACTATAAAATGGCCTATGACAGCATCAAAAGAAAATATCTATATGAGACTCTGCAGGAGTTTGGGATACCCAACAAACTGACAAGACTAATACATGTAACACTAAACAACTCAAAAAGCAAAATCAAGATTCAAGGAGAATATTCAAAACAACAAAAACGGCAGGAAACCTATTAAACACATGGGAGAGGAAAATTCTCAGGAAAATATATGAATAAACAAAGGATGAATATGGATGGAGAATACGAACCAACCATGAATTGTACAGTCTATATCAGGATCCTACGATAGTGGCTGAAATAAAAAGAGACAGGCTACTCTGGGCAGGACACTTAGAGAGAATGCCAAATGACAGAGGAACGAAGAGGGTGCATCAACAATACCCCAGAGGAAAAAGGCTCAAAAGCAGACCTAGGTTTAGATGGATGAATGATGTGGAAAAAGATCTACAGCAGCTGAAAGTCCAAGCATGGAAAAGAAAGGCATTAGGTAGGTCTGAGTGGAAGGAAGTGGTGAGGCAGGCCAAAGCCCTACATGGGCTGTAGCGCCACAGGGATGGATGAAAAGCTTGGGATAGACTCAATTTTGACCGCTCAGCCTATAGCCCTACTATACGTACTAATGAGTAACAATCATTTTTAAGATTCATTAGTAACAGCTGATCACTGCTTGTTGTATATACAATTTGCAAAGCCTGACTTTAGAAAAGTGCTTGAGAATAGTGATAGTAACATAGGAAGGGACCATTGATATACTATTTTCAAACCTATTTCCCTTCGAAACCCCCTAAAATTGTACAATATCATCTCAAAATTCGTACAATAAAGTATGTTAATAGTAAATAAATAAACATACAGCATATATAATCTACCGGTATACAATAACTGCTCCCATCGCGGGTCAAGTGGGATCAAGTTATGCTGACGTCGAAAAATGTAACTTCTAAAAGTTCATAACTGACGTTTATATTGTAATCTGCTTTACTTTGTTTTGCAGACGTGTATCTGCTATAGATATCTGATTACCAATTAATATTTAGGTGAACTTCAGATCACATTATCACAGACTGTCACTGGTAAAAATAAAGTTGTAATAAGGGGAGAGACTGCAATCAGGTTAGCACATATACAATTAGTAAAACAAAGCAGGGTTAAACCTGAAAAAAGGAATGCAACAAAACAATGGTTCAAGCGCCCTTCCACGTCCCGAACTATCGCAGTGGACTTACTCCTCCTCTTTTATTTCACTCCTCTCTATTTAATCTCTCACTCACTTTCTGTCACATTTCTTTTGCTGCCCACGGATACTACTTCTAAGCTAAGTGCTATTTTGTATTTTATTTTCATACCGTTTTTTCTGTTGTTTTGTTCACTGAAGAAGGCTTTCTGCTGACACGTTCGTTGTTTTGTTGCGTTCCTTTTTTCAAGTTTCACCCTACTTTTTTTTCACTAATTTTATAAAAATAGTTACTGGACATTAATAAGAATTTTTTTTTTTAAATACCAAGTAACTTAAGATTTTTTTTTTTAGGAAAATTTGTTTTAAAAAAAAAGAATACCCATTATGCCTATTTCCCGCTATTTTAAAGAGATTTCAAAGGTTCTCTCAGATCGTATAAAATATGTCGAAATCTAATGTTGCTGCACCAAATACCGTATTTATTGGCGTATAACACGCCCCCGCGTATAACAAGCACCTCAATTTAAGAAGCCAATTTCAGGAAAAAAAACTAAACATTATATCGGCATATAACATGCACACATGATTTGCCCCCTATTTTCGGGGAGAAAAAGTGTGTGTTATATGCCAATAAATTCGGTAGTTGAAAATGCATAATCTAGTTTTCTCTGTTTCTGGACTTGCCACGGTCAGTCGTAGAAATAATTATGTCACAAAATTAAGTCATTTAGCAAACAAACGTGAGGAGGAGGAATCTGTACAGTGTGTAGGCAAAAAAATTCAAATTTTCAAACACCACTCCCCCAGAAACCCATTATAGTAACTACTTTTTGCAGTTACTAGATGGGGCTTAGTGATTTACATGTGTTATATTTATTTTTACCCAACTCTTTATTTAATTTTCTTTTTATATTCACTATTTCCAAGTGGACTTGTTAGAATTTAACACAGGGAGCCTGGTGAAAACCGAAATTTTGTAGAGGCGCCGAAAATGAAAATTTTGAAGTACTAGCATAGCCCAACAAAATATACATCACATGTGCATTGCACATATAGTGGAATAAATATTACTTTAATACCTCTACTACTTAGGACTATCAGAGTTTATCTAGCGAGTTCATTTGTGAAAATACATGGCAAAATTATGAAGATAAGTCCAACAAAACATTGAAAGATATTTTTACAGCATTCGTTATAATCTATATAAATATGCTATTTTTGGACTTTCAGTATGAATATTTTAGAACTTTTTTAAAATGTATGTATTTTTTGCTATTATCACCGTTGCCGCATCTTGCGAGTTCATTACAAAAATACAAAACAACACTTCTTTATGAAGATGTGGCATTGTTACTTTTATAGACAAGATTTATACACCACGCCCCACCGCACCCATACACAAAATCTCCTATACCAACACCACTCCATTCCCCTCTCAGGGCGAACATAATATAATTATAGATGATCCCCCAACCAATCATATTTCTCGATACATTCACTGCTGGGTGTAGAATGCAAGTGCACATTAAAACTAACAACTAAA